GGAAGGAAGGAAGGAAGGAAGGAAGGAAGGAAGGAAGGAAGGAAGGAAGGAAGGAAATGCTTCCCCAGCAAAATAGTTAAAGGCGACTCTAGATTGCTCCTGGGAGGCAGGGAATAAGGTGAATACCTGTGCTTAGCCATAATGGCAGACCCCCTGCTTCCTTGGGTGCGGATGATTTTATGGAGGAAGAGGTGTACTTGTCAGAGGTGTAGAACATTTAAACAATGCACAGAAGCTCCGAAGTAGCTCCCCAGTTGCAGGTCTAACTCGTAGGGCCTGACCCAGATATCTCCTAGAGGGCCGTTAGTGAAGCTACTGCATGGGCTGCCCCCAACACTTGGCATCTCTGCTGAATAGAAGAGGGTAATCCAAGGTGCTTCGGGACCTCTGTGCCTCACACTCCCTGCATGGGTGATGTGCCTCAGGGGAGCACAGCTAGGAACCTCTCCAGCTGTGAGGCGATGGTTGCCCGCAGGACATGCTCTCTTGGGCATGGCTCCTGCTCGTCCCCTTGGTTTTATTCCCCCTCTCACCAAAACAACAGAACGTGTTTCTTCCTCTCAATTTTTATTTTGTTTTATTTTTCTGATATTGATGAATTTTCTTATTTCCCTTTCTCCTTGTTTCCCTTCTTGGATCTTCTGAAAAACTAAACGGAACAAACTATTTATTATAGTTATTATTACCAGGGTCCACTGTGGTACCCTGTCTGTCTACAACTCCCCCCACCTTCCGCATCTACTCTGCTCATTCTGTAACATTTCATAAATGTGTAAAAATGTGTTACTACCAACAATTGGACATTCTTTATGCCTGGTTTATCAGAGGAAGGACATGTTGTCAGTTGTTGACCTCATTGTCTTACTCACAGCAAGGCCATCAACTTCACTGCAAACTTTGCATCCTCCCATAGGTATCATTCTAGGTTTTTATTCATGGCCTGGATGATGGGATTGATGGGCTGCTTATCATTGGGATGGGTGACAGAATCAGTCCACTCTCCAGCTTGGAAGACTAGGCAGAGCAGCGAGATGTCCTTCAACAGGGAGAAGTGTTAAGATACTACATTTAGTGAGAAGAACATAGGATCCACAAACAAGATGCGGGATTCACGGCTTGGAAACACTACATCTGAGAAGGACTTGGATGGGTCATTGACAACAGGCTGACCATGTGAGGCAGTTGCCAGAAGGGCTAACTGGGCCACATCAAAAGAAGCTCTGTATCAAACGTATGCCAAGTCATTATTCCTCTCTCCTCAGCACTGGTGAGATCCATCTTCAGTCTTAGGTACAATTCTGGGCACCCCGTTTCCAAAAGCCACATTGACAGGTTAGAGAGAGTTCAGGGAGGGCCACAAAGTTGATCCAGGGACTTGAGGATGTGCCCTCTGAGGACAGGCTGAAGGAACTTGGCCTGTTCAGTCTGGAGAAACAAAGGCTGTGGGGAGACATGATAGCAGTGTTCAGGCACATACAGGGAAGATGGCCAGAGAAACTAGGACCAGAAATAACAGATTTAAGTTGTAACTACCTAGGTTTCATTAAGGAAAAGCTTCTTGGTAGTACAGGGCTGTACAACAGTGCAGTTGTCCACCAATAGAGCTTGTGGATTTCCACGTCTGGAGGTTTTTAAGAAGGGGCTGGACAGCTACCACTCAGGGATGATTTAATTGTTTTTCTGCACATCAGAGAGGGTTGGACTAGATTATCTTTCTGATACGTTCCAACTCTTTGGTTCTACATAAACTACTTGTACATTTATAAATATTTTATTTATTTATTTATCCATCCATCCATTCATTTGATTTATATAGCTGCCCATCTCACTTTTACGTGACTCTAGGCAGCTTACAATAAAACAAAAAACACAAAATACACAATATAAAAACAGAAACACATAGCAGCTGGGCATAATCTAACCTATCATCCACACAACCAGCAGATGGGCTTTAACCCACTACCAGGGCCCCAGGCTTGGGCACAAAGCCAAGTTTTCAAGGCCTTATGAAAAGCCAACAGGGATGGGCCAATCTAATCTCGGGGGATGATGTTCCAAAGGGTGGGTCCCATGGCAAACTGGCAGAAGTAACTGCCTGTGCCACCACGTTTTGCACCAGTCGAAGTTTCCAAATGTTCTTCAAGGGCAGCCCCATGTAAACAGTATTGCAGTAGTCCAATCTGGAGGTCACAAGGTCATGCGTGACTGTGAGCAGGGCCCCCTGGTCCAGGAATGGGTGTAACTGAGACACAGCCTTAAGCTGTATAAAGGCCCTCCTAGCCACGGCTGCCACCTGCCCTTCGAGCAGGAGCCATGATTCCAGGACAACCCCCAGATTGCGCACCAGCTCTGTCTGGGGCAGTGCCACCCCATCCAGAACCAAAGATGAAAGGTCCCCAGAACTAGGAGGTCCAAAAACCCGGAGCCACTCAGTCTTCCTTGGGTTGAGTTGAAGCCTGTTGTGCCCCATCCAGGCCCCGACAGCCTCCAGGCACTGAGACAGAACCTCCACAGCAGGCAGCCTGGGGTGGAGGTAGAAAGTATACTGATGATACCTCACCCCAAACTGTCAGATGACCTCATCCAGCAGCTTCATGTAGATGTTAAGCGTGTTTCATTCAATCATTCAGAGAGCCATAAATATAACTATTAGAATCAATGAACTGTAAATAGACAGTTTTGTATTTATTGTATTTATGTATTTAAAACTCATCTCTGCTAGGGATGAGTTTTGCTTTTTGAAGGGGTGCTTTCTGCATGACAGCCATGTGCAAAAATGTACAGTACAAGCAAGCTCATAACCCGCTCCTGGGTGTGGGAGTGTGAGTGTGTGTGTTTTAAATATGAACACAGGCCTTGCATTCTAGACAAATGCAACAGAATGAAGGATCTATCCTAATTGCTTACAGTCACGTATGTTCTCAAATGTTTGTTGTTTTTTTAAAAATGACAACAAAACAAATTGTGTGGTTCTCAGAAATGCAAAAGTAGTTATTTTGCACACTTGGCAATATATTTTTTATCTGAAAGTGATTCTGAATTTAAGGGATCCACCCTCAAAGAACAAAAAGACAGGAAATACACACACACACACACACACACACGACAAAAATCCAGCACAATGGCCAGCTTCCCCAACTTGTCAAACTGGGGGTGTTAAATTCAGCTGAAACCAGGATTCCTCCCTCCCTTTCAGCAGGGCAGAAAGGGAAACACCAGGGTTGTGATGGGGTGAGGAGCTGCCAAGGGAAGGGAAGGGAAAGCCGGTGACGGAGGAGGAGAGCAATGAGGCAAAAAAGCAGTGAGGGGCCTGGTCTTGTTTTAAAAAGGGTTCAGTGTCTAATCATCAGCATCCCTTGCACGTTTCCTAATTTCTGAATGTTGGATGACCCCCCCACCCCAAATCCATGAATAATTATTTGGGAGGGACTCCTTTTCCTTGGAAGTAACAGTCTTCTTCAGAAGCTCCCAGTTTTCTGCTCAAGGCACAGCTGGGCCTGTGGCGGCAGCGGCTGCTGATGCTGATGCTGAGGACTAAGAGTCTGAGCTCTGTTTTGGGGACCCTTCCAGATATGGCCTGCTGCTGAGGCTGCTGGGAGTTGTAGTTGAGCAAGTTCTGGAGGGCCACAGATTCCCCATCCTGAGTTCTTCTGTAGGCATGCTAGGGAGGGGGCTGAATGCTTCTGAAAGAGAGCTAGCTAGCTTGGGGTAGCTCGTGGCACCTGGCATCTGAGTTCTCATCTGGGATTCCAGCCAGCTGGGTGACCTGGGGCCAGCCAGTCTCTCTCTGCCCAGGAAGACAGAGGCGAGACCACTCCCCTCCGAAAGGAAAGTGCCAGGAACACTGCAGGGACTTGTCCGGGCAGGAGCCAAGAGACTCGAAGGCACCCCCCCCCAAAAAAGTTGGAAGACCCGGGGGGGCGCCTGCTCTGCTGCTCCCTTTTCAAGACTGCTTATGTTCTTCTGAGCCTTCTGAATCTTGTTCCAAGCTGCCCTGCGAGGTGTTGGCTGTTGTTTTTACACAGACTCGGTTTGCTGCTGCAGACTGTCTTGGGGGGGCATCTTCTGGGGGACAGCCTGCCATTGCAGAGTTGAATCCAAGCAGGAAGGGAGCAGCAAGTGCAGGTGGGGGGCTTCCTCGTGTCACTGCCTGATGCTGTCCTGCTTTGCTGCTCAGCAGCCCAGGTGCCAGGGTACCCAGATTAATGCTGCTCCGCCAGAGGGGCTTCTTGCTTTCAATTTTCTGCTTGAATTTTTGCCCCCTGCGCTTTAAACGTGCCTCTTTCGGGGGTCCTGCCTTGGACTGTGGCGGGAGAAAGGGAAGGCTTGTCCTTAGCCGTTGATCCTGTCCCTCGGGTGTCCTCCGACGCCGACCTGGGATTTGGAAGCCATTCCTGGGGGCTCAGGGCGCTGCCAGGGAATTGGAAACGGGGGCTCAGAGGGTGACGGACAAGGAAGCTTGCGAGGGGCGGCCGCTCTGCCGCCTGGCGTGCAGGACAGCACCGCGCTCAGCAGGTGCCGGTCTGGGTGAGCATCAGTCCAGCCGATTTATACGCTGGACAGTTCCGTTCTTCTACTTGGTAGTCCGAAGTTGTAACGAGGGAAAGATTGTCGGACGGTGGAGGGCCGCGTTGCCCGACCGTGGACCCGCTTCTGCCGCCATAGCCGGAGGCGCCTGTTTTTCCGAGGCGCCGCTCGGAGCCAGCCTTGCAGCGCGTGAAGGCGAGGAGGTGCTGCTCGGGGTAAGCGGGGCCATCGGCGAGCAGCCCTCGGGCGGGGGGCACCGCCGGCCGACCCCTCGCGCGGGGGGCTGGGGACCGTTCCCGAGGCGCTCCGCCGC